TGTTGGAGTATGTCGCTTGTACCCCTAAAGATAGCGGACACCACTCCAGCTGCCAAACCTTGAACTGCTTCACTGATTCTTCCATCGAAAATGTCGCAACTCTCTCCGGGGCTTAGCAAATTCCGCTCACTGCTACTCAGGCACCCCCAAACTTCAGGTGCTTAACAGCTGCGCCACTGGTTCTCGAAGAATTCCCCATCTGGCACCAGAAGTTTTTGCAGCGCGCCGATCTGCACCCATCTTTGCGCTCGCCCTGACACCAAACATGCCCTAGGCATTAACGCCCGTCGCAGTAGCCGGTGAAAATATGGGACAGCTCCCTCTGCTTTGCCAGACTCCAAAAACTTTGGATACAGTGTCCAGCTGACACCAAAATCTCCAAACTTTTGCCTGGCATGCAGGTACAGTGTCGACAGGTTGTACTCTTGTTGCACGAGTCAGTCACCCCAAGTTTTTGGGCGGCTGGAACAGAAAGCGCCCCCGACACTTTGCGCACCTTGTCACGGGAAGAAAGGGATTGTAAGTGTGTTGGAATGTTACCGCTTTGGCATACGTGGATTGCGACGGGGGGCTGACTTTGTATTTTTTAAAATACCCGTGGGCTGAATTTGTACTTTCTGAATTTATAGTTTCCGAAATACTTGGCGGACGAAATATAACATGCTGTCATGGCTGGCAAGTTCCACTGTTGCCATTGTCTTCTCAGGGAACAGTGGGGGCCATATTCTAGAAACGGGGGTGCAGTTGCCCGTGCTAGAAACAGAAGTGATGCGGGAAGCTTTTGTGAGTGAACCGAGACGTAACTGACTCGGGCAACAAGGGTAGACCACGCGTAAAGCCCGACTGCAATCCAACTGCCAACTATTTGACACGTGTCAGTGGCGTCCCAGTGCCATCCTGGTGCTGTCTGAAAATTGGTCGTTGCCGAAGTTTGCCGCTTCCGGATTTTTTTGTCGAATCAAGGCCGCGCCGAACCACTGCCGTTGTCCCATCGCCGAAGTTACCGGAGCGCGGCGACACACCAAGGCCCAATCCTTCGAGGTTGTCGGTTGTCGGTTGTCGCTCTGAAACAGAGCGCCAGCGAATTCTTCGCGTCTCTCGCTCCCCGCGCTTTCCCCATATACACTTCTGACGCATCAGACGTGCACCTGGCGAACTCCAAAATCTTCGCACGGAGTTGGGCGAGCCTTCGCTTTTTTCGCAGAACCGCTGATGTGGGTGTACCAATGTGGTTAACCACCCAACCCAAGGCAAACGAGGATTGGAAATCCAAACCCTTTATATAATGGCTTGGGAATTCCCAAACCTACACATTGCCAACCAATGGTTCGATATGCAAACAACCACAGATTCCCAGTTGGTGTTACAACCAACTCAATCCATTATTTTCTTCCACACACTTGCTCTCAAATGGGTAGCAACCCAACCGAAAATGCCACCTAAGAAACTCAACTCTAGGGATCTCCTGGGATCTCCTTAAAGCCCAAAAAAAAAAAATCTAAGTATTTGAGCTCTCCTCGCAGCTTCCCACAACTCTCTCAAGGACTTCTTCACTCAAGCCTCTCCTTTCAAGACTTCATCAACAACTTTAAGGCTACTCTAGAAGTTAAGCTAGGGTTATTATTAGATTGGAGAGCATTCCTTGCTTGTAACCCTACTATAATAGCCTTGGTTATTATATTGGTATTTAGAGCTAAGGCTGATCTTGGCCTTGTGTGGTTTTTTTTTTTTTTTTTTTTTATTTTTTATTTTTTTTAGAGGATCCTAGATTATAGATCTAAAGGCTTCTTCAAGGACTTTAAGAAATCCTCAAGACATTGAAGAATTCTTCAAGCTCCATCAAAGCTTCCAACATATCAAGAACTTGGAAGACTTTTGAAGACTCTTCATCAAGATCTTGAAGATTCTCCATAAAAATCTTCAAGTCTGTTCACCAAGTTTTGCAGACTCTTCATCAAGATCTCGAAGTTTCTCCATCAAGACCTTCAAGCTTCTTCACCAACATTGAAGGATCTCCTTCCACATTGAAGACATTTTGAGAAGAGATTCATCTCTTGCCCACCTTTTGGTAGAAGTCTCTTCTTACCTTAGGGTAGGGAGTGGCTTCTCAGATTTGTTGAGGAGCTACTCTTCATTGAGTAGATCTTGCTCTATCATTGATTTGATAGAGAGATCTTGCAATAAATTCATTATTTGGATTTTTTTTCTTGGATTATTCTGTAAAGAGTAATAAAAAAATTCTTTAAGAGAACTTTCAGATCCGTTGAGTAACCTTGTTTCCTTAACCCATTTCATGGCTTCCAACCAAGATATGGATGTTTATCAGGGAAACATGAATGTTTCAGGCTATGAGGGGGACAATGGTGCTGCTGAAATCGATCTCAACCAAGATCTCATGGTTGACCTGGAGGTCAATGGAAGTGAAGCAGATATTGGTGCTGATGCTGAAAATGCTGAAGATGCCGATGCTGAAGATGCTGGGGAACAACTGACTTGCACATTGTCCCTATAGAATATAGCTATTCCATTCAAATGTAGCTATCGAATGGAGCAACCCCTCCCAGTGGCCCTTTCAAACGCAGTGCATTTGACACCATGGGGCATGCAATTTGAGCCGCGGGCTTTAAAGCGAGGGTCTCAAGAAGCAAAAAACCAAACCCAAAGGTTTTGGTTTGGGGGGTCGCGAAATTGCGAGGTGTGGTAAGGGGTGCTGGTTTGGCGCCGTAACTGTTTCGCAAAGTTAGTAAACCCAAAACCAAAACCTTTGGATATGGTTTTCTGCTTCTTGAGACCCTCGCTTTAAACAATCATAACAAAAATTATCGGACAACCGGACGGAATGTGGCGCGTCCTAAATGTATCCCTACTCCGGAACTGGCTGGAGTTCACGAGCCCCATAGTCTAAGGTAATTGGGGCGGCGGGTGAGCCCCACAACTCCTGGCCCACAATTGAAGTCACTGGTGGTCGTTACGACGAGCCGCGTTCACACAGATCAGCATTGGCGGTTCGTCAATGCATTGAGACGGGAGTGTGTTTGTGGAGCTCTGGTGTGGTTCCGCCAACGCTGTTCAGTTCTGGGCGGTTCGGTTGATGGGTCCGCTCGGCGGACGGGTGGGCACAGTTTGTAAAAGGCCCTCCCCTTACGAAACCTCCCCTGCTTGAAGTTCGATCGCACAGCACGCTATGGGACATTATCGCACGCAGTCTCCACCAGCAGACGACGTCGACGACGACGTACCCAGCCTTCCATCACATCGCACACAGTCACACTCTGTCACTCACCTCACCACACCACCACAAAACTGTGCGATCGTACAGTCTGTTGACTGGTCCTAGATTTAGTGATGACAAAACATCTGCGCACGTATTTATTCGGGTAATTTGCTGCCAGATCGGCAACATCGGACGGCTGATCTTTACGGACAGATTTGTTCTCAGAACTAGTATACGTTATCTTTCTGATCATCATTATTACGAGCAGTTCTGAATCATAAAAAAATGCGTGGTTTTCCGTTCTGATCGACGGAAAGATGTATTGACCATTCAAAACGCGACACATAGGCACAGACTTGTTTCAGCAACGTCAGCATGAAATTCATATTAACATGGCCCACTTAGTTCTATTTTCCGGAGTTCTGGGTCATTTATGGCGCGGATAACGAAGAAGGGCCACAACCAGAAATATTTACGAAAACAGAGCGAATCGGTTGCGTTTGGGGGGCTGAAACAGGTTTGTGCCTATGTGTCGCGTGTTGAATGGTCGATACATCTTTCTGTCGACCAGAACGGAGAACCATGCAAAATTAGATGATTCAGAAGTGTTCGTAATGACGCCGATCAGAAAGATGACGTATTCTAGTTCCGAGAACAAATCTTCCGTACATATCAGCCACCCAATGTTGCCCATCTGGCAGCAAATTACCCTTTTTATTTACAGAGAAAGCGACAAGTTTTTATCGAAAACGTTTTGCCTGGGCGACACAGAAACCGATGCACATACCTTGATGACGTATCGGCTGGGCTACCCCAAAAAGGAATTTCCAGAACAGTTGTATTTCCGCAAGGTTACCTGCATTCCAGTTGCACCAAACGCCCGCGGCAAAAATCCGCGTGTGCGGCCCCGCTTCTGTAGCCGGCTGGACGACCCTGGTCAACGCGCGCGTCCCCCTCTCAGCCCTCCTCCCCCCCCCCCCCCCCCCCCACTTCCCCCCAAAACCCCCCACAACCTTCCCCCAACCCCCCCCCAACCTTCCCTCCCCTCCCCGGTCAAGCCCTTACCTCGAGCTCTGAAAGAACAACCACAAGCTCGCCATTCTGGTCCCATGCCATCCACACGCCAACCACAAGCTCTTGTCACCAGCTTGCTCCAGCAGCCTCGTCTTTTTGTTTCTGCGCAGCAAGGTGTTGGTTCACTTACAACGTCGCAAGAGTGCATGAACGTCGGTCGATGGCTCGGACTCGGAGACATCGATTAATGGCTCCAATATTAGCGCAGCTCTTGTTGTTAGTAGCTCTCGCCAGAAACGCGGAGAGCCTCGCGACCCCACCTAGGAACGGTAAATGCGGCCACAGGGAGTGATGCTTATTGCGTGAATATACATCATATCCTTTGCGATCTCGTCATACAGGAGATGTCGACATTGCGATCTCGACCCCAAGCTTAATTTGTTATCTCGCGAGGCCACCCACGCGCTGACTGCGCCCGTGTGGTATGACGATTATCCATTTAGTGCGCATTCCCCCCTCATCCGCTCTTCTGTTCCGTTCTGTTCTGTTCTTATCTGTTATGTTCTGTTCCGCTCCGTTCCGTCCCGTCCCGTCCCGCTCCGCTTCGTTCCGTTCCGTTCCGCTCCGTTCCGCTCCGTTCCGTTCCGCTCCGCTCCGTTCCGTTCCGTCCTGTTCTTTTCTGTTGTGTTGTGTTCCGTTCCGTTCCGTTCTTTTCTGTTCTGGTCTGGTCTGTTCTGTACTGTGATGTGACCCGATACGATGCGACGATGCGCGCGCAGCCAAGTGCGACTATTCCCGGGGGGCATGGGTGCGTGGAGGCAAGCATTACCCGCGTTACACCACGCTGGACGGGCAGAACCGTGTCAAGTGCCCGTACGTACGGAGCGAGTACTCGTGCGAGCGTAACAACCGGCCGGACTGGCGTTACAAGCTGTTCAGGTGGCAGCCGTCCGGCTGCTCGATGTCGTACTTCAGCGCCTCGGGTTTCAAGTACATCATGAAGAACAAGGTGAGGAACGAAACGATCCACAAATGGCGCCTCGGGTTTCTTCTAGCAATGCACAAAAGGCGAGCTCGTGCGTGGCTCATTCTAGGAATAAAATCGCTCATTCTCCTAATCCGCTTTCTACCGGGCCGGGATTTTAACTTCCACGGTGCGTACGTACGCGTTTCTAAAAAAAGGGTGAAATAGTCAATCATTTCTCGCCACAGTTGTCGAGTCGTCTGCTGGCCCAATATGACTATGTGACGCGCGCGCGCGTGTGACTATCGTTCCCCGTCATGACTCGCGAGGGCATGCGACTCAACGGCAGAATATGCTGGTGGTGTGCGGCCCCCATGATGTCCTTATAATGTCCCCATGGCGCTGCTCCTCCGCCAGAAGCTGCCCTGCCAATCCCCACACCCACTCTCTTTCCTCTCCCTCGCCCTCTCTTTCTCCCCCCCCCTCCCGCCCTCTTCCCCTCCCTCCCTCCGCGTGAGGTTGCGCGCGCAGAAAATGCTGCTGGTGGGCGACTCCATGATGTCCAACTTCCACGAGGCGCTGCTCTGCGCCATCCACACGGGCGGCTTCCGCGGCCAGGTGAGCCGCGCACAGGTGAACCGGGGAAGAGTACCGCAGAAACCGTTCAAGGATGTACCAGACCGGGCTGGGGAATGTTAACGTGGGACGTACGATGCATGATCAGCTGGCGTGGCTGTGGTGATGCCATGGCGTGTATTCGAATAAGTATACTTCACTTCCTTCCCTGCTTTTTGGCTCTCTCCCACCCTTACCCCAATCCCTCTACATCCTCACCCGGCCTCCAGACCCCTCACCCCCTGTTCTCGTTCCCTCCCCCCTACCCCTTCCCTCCCTCCCTCCCTGTCTAACCCTATCCCTCCCTCTTCCCATCCCCCACCTCCCTCCCCCCCTCTCTTTCCAGCCATACACAGTGGACATCCGCATGTCGAACAGCATCAAGGGCATGCGCTTCCCAGCCTTCTCCTTCTCGCTCGAGTACTACAACTCGCCCTACATCGTGCAGTCCAGGCGCCAGACCACCAACGGCGGCAGCAAGCGCGGCGGCCACGCATTCGAGGTCAATCTGGATAAGATGGATCCGGGGCTGGAGTCTGTTCTTGGGGGGTACGACGTTGTGGTCTTTGCTTCCGGGGTCTGGTGGCTCCAGAACGTTCCGCGCCGCACGCAGCCCAACATCTTCCTTGTGAACGGGCAGGAGCGAAATCTTTCAAACATTGCTGCCCACCAGTGGGGGCTCTCCACGGTGGCCAGTTACATCAAGAACTCGAATTTTCGCGGCGTGCCGATGTTCCTCTCCTTCTCGCCAGCCCACTCGGGTGCGAGAGGCAAGCCGCAGAAAGGTGTGATGCTGGGAAGAGGGAGCCATGCGGACTGGCTCGGAGCCTGTGGCGCCTGGGGGCCAATCTTCAGCACAAAAAAGTACTCGTATTCGCTTGACACTGCAAACGAGTACAGGGATGCGCAGAAGTCTACACTATCTGGTACACCCATTCGCTTTGTAGGGGTGACTGATTTGAGTGCGATCCGGCCGGACGGGCACTTAGGCCCATGGCACGAGTGGAGGGAGAACAGAGGGAGCAAGTCGCCAGGAGGGCAGGGGGAGTCGCCATTCAAGGGGGACTGCACCCACTGGTGCTTGCCTGGGGTTCCTGATGCTTGGGTTGACATGCTTTACACCCACCTGCTGCTGGAGCCGACTATTTTCTGAAGGAGGTTTGGCTGCCAGTGCCGTTGTAATCAGGGCCCTAGATTGGTTTTGAGGCTTCCTGATCCATCAGGATTCTCCCTGCAGAAAAGTCTGAATTTTCAGGGTCCCCTAAAAAAAAATCCTGAGCCATCAGAATTACTTTAAAAAAAAACTGATTTTTCAATCTTTCTATACATGTTATAGTTCATGAATTTTGTATGTTCAAGTTTTGGTTTTTGGGGGATGCTGAGAATTCGTAGCGAATTTGCGCGTGTGTGGCGAGATTGGGGGATGGGCAGGAAACGAAAATTGGTGGGGGGGAGAGAGGGGGAAGGGCTGAATAGGGGGGGAGGCGACGAGATTGCAGGGGCGGAGGGAATCTCTTCCCTCGCTGAGCCCTAGGGGCAGGTGCACATCAAGCAAATTCGGCCAAGGTGTCAAACATGTGTATCTCCTATGTTTGCATAGACTGTATAGGGCCACCTCTTAGAGGGTACAACACTTGGGTATATTCACCTGTACTCTCTCTCTACTAATAATTCAGTTCTCACTTTGATATGGTATCACGCGTAGGTTAGGATCCCCCACCTACCGCTTCCGCCCGTACCCTAGCCAGGCCCCGCCGCTTCCCCCTGGGCCCTGTCGCGCCTCCTAGCCCCGTCGCGCCCCTCCTGGGCCCTGCCGCGCCTCCTGGCCCTGTCGCGCCCCCCTAGCCCCGTCGCGCCCCTCCTGGGCCCCGTCGCGCCCCCCTGGCCCCGTCCCGACCCCCTAGCCCCGTCGCGCCCCTCCTGCGCCCCGTCGCGCCCCCTAGCCCAGTCGCGCCCCTCCTGGGCCCTGTCGCGCCCCTCCCGGGCCCCGTCGCGCCCCCTTGGCCCCGTCGCGACCCCCTAGCCCAGTCGCGCCCCTCCTGGGCCCCGTCGTGCCCCCCTGGCCCCGTTGCAACCCCCTAGCCCAGTCGCGCCCCTTCTGGGCCCCGTCGCGCCCCTCCTGGGCCCCGTCACGCCTTTTAGCCCCGTCGCGCCCTGCCTGGCCCCATCGCGCCCGCTCGGCCCCGTCGCGCCCTGCCTGGCCCCGTCGCGCCTGCCTGGCCCCGTCGCGCCCTGCCTCGCCCCGTCGCGCAGTGCCTGGCCCCGTCGCGTCTGCCTGGCCCCTCCGCGCCTGCCTGGCCCCGCCATGCCTGCCTGGCACCGTCGCGCCCTGCCCAGCCCCGTCGCGCCCTGCCTGGCCCCGTCGCGCCTGCCTGGCCCCGCCGCGCCTGCCTGGCCCCGCCGCTCCTGCCTGGCCCCGCCGCGCCTGCCTGGCCCCGCCGCTCCTGCCTTGCGCCCATCCCAGCCGGCCCCGCGCCCGCCCTTGCGACCTCCGCGCCCGTCTGCTCGGCCCCTGCGCCCGTCCCAGCCGGCCCCGCGCCCGTCCCGTCGACCTGGTGCCCGCTGCTTCTGGTCCCCGCGCCCGTCCTGCCCCGAGCTGTGTACGGCCCGCTCGTCGTCCCTGCCCCGGCCCTGCATCCTCCCTGGTACAATTCCCCATCCCTGCACCGCACTGCACCGCCCTAAAACCGCACTGCACTGCACGGTACCGCCCTGCACCGCACTGCACCGCGCTGCACCGCACTGTACAGTCCTGCACTGCTCCTGATGGCGGCGGAGCTTCGCTTCGACGCTGAAGGCCAGCCTCTGGAGTTCGAGGCGTGGCTCGCCGACCTCCGTCGCCACCTCACTGGCCATCGGCAGGATGGCCACCCGCTTTCCGCACACCTTGACGGTACGCTCCCCTGCCCAGACCCCCCTGCTGTTCTGCCCGCTGACCCCACACCCGCTGAGCGCGAGTCTACTGCAGCCACTGCACTTGCGCGCTCTGTCTGGCTTTCCCGAGACGCTGTTGCTCAGCTTGCCATTAGCAATGCCCTTCCCCCGTCCAAGCGCCCTCGCTCTAGGTCCATCACTACCGCCCACGGTTACTTAGATGCTGTCATCAAGTGCTATTCCACCCCTCCTGCTGCCTCGGTGGGTCGCCTGATCCTCCCGATGCTCTTTCCCGACCTTGCGTCTTTCCCCACTGTCTCTGACCTAGCTGCCCACCTGCGCTCGATAGATGAGACCTGGCGCGCTGCCTGCACTGACGCACAGCTTAGAGCCCACCAGCTGCCCATTACCTCTACCCTCTACCTGCTTGCCACCCGCCTCCCTGACCGCCTTGCCGCCGCCCGCGACCGCTTCCTTAGCATTCACCCCGATGAGCTCACCCTCACCGACTTTGTAGACACCCTGACTGTTATTGAGACCCGCCACCGCTCCATCGCCCAGGCGAGCGGTAACGTGCCGGTCCCTATCTTTCAGGGTTGTGCCCCCGCTCAGTGTACCTTCTCCGACGGTTCTGTCAGTGTGGCTGAGACTGCTGCTGCAGCGTAGTTTCGTTCGGGGAAGGGCCACCGCCCCAAGGCTAGGCGCGGCGGAGGAGGCGGGGGTGCAGGAGGGGGTGGTGGTGGAGTCGGGTCGTCTGGTGCTGGAGCGGACGAGGGGACCCTGCCCAATCCAGCTGAGCCGCCACCTCCGCAGTCGCAGCAGCAGCACCAGCAGCAGCCGCAGCAGTCGCAGCAGCCGCAGCCTACGCAGCAGCCGCCGCAGACGAGGCAGGCGAGTGTCCTCCCGCCCGGGTAGCCTGGCGCTGGAGGTGGTCGGGCGCGTGGTGGTGTGCCGAGTGGTGGTTCGGGAGGCGTGCGTTGTCAGTACCAGATCCAGACCGGTCCTCGCCGCGGCTTCGTTTGCGGTAAGATCGGTGATACCACTCCCCGCTATTTTCGTCGCCTGGACGACCTCTTTCGTCAGCGCTTCGGCCCGTCGCCAGACCTCCCGGGCTGGCACAGTTTGCTTAGTCGTAGGATTCAGATTTTTTACATGGACATGGATGCTCTGTATGTGAGGTATGCTGATGACTCTAGTGCGCTTCCCGCTTATTACTCACTGTCGTCTAGTGTAGATTTGCCTAGCTTAGTCTCCCCTGGTGCGTCAGGCGTAGGATCCCTTGCTTTGTTTAGCCTTGGTGCTTCCGCCGTCGCTCCGTCGCTGGATGCCACTGCTTCGCTTTCCTTCACCTTGGACTTTGGCGCATCCCGGTGCTTCTTCCGCGACTCTACTACACTGACGCCGCATCCTGTTCCTGCTGCCGTTTCTCTTGCTGACCCCTCCAGCGGTCCGGTAGTCGCCCGCAGTTCCACCACCCTTCCCTGTCCGGCGGTTCCTTCGGGCTCTCTTACAGGTCTGCATATCCCCTCGTTCTCCAGGAACCTAGTTGGTGTCGGCTGCCTCCAGGACCTTGGTATCTCCACTACGTTCCCTGGTCACGAGCGGTATGCTGTCTGTACCGAGGCCGCCACTGGTGCCCCCCTGTCCACGTTCCCCCGGGACCCGGTGTCCGGCCTGTTCACTCTGGACACCGTGACCCCCCCGGCTGGGGCGCCCCCTCAGGTGGCTGCGTCTACCCAGGTTGCTGCTGCCTGCTCCTGTCGGTCCCTCACTCACCCGACTCTCCTTTGGCACCACCGCCTAGGTCACCCTGCGCTCCTGCGTCTGCATCATATGTCCCAGCACGGTCTCGTCATTGGTCTCCCTGGTTCTCTCCCCGCTTTTCCCTCCTCCCCAGCCCCACCTTGCACGCCTTGCGTCGAGGGTCGGCTTCGCCATGCCCCTCACTCCTCCTCGTTTCCCCCTACCGCCGCGCCGCTGCAGACCCTGTACATGGACGTCTGGGGCCCCGACCCCGTCCATGGGGCGCGTCGAGAGCGTTACTTCCTTGTGCTTGTCGACGACTTCACTCGCTACACCTCGGTCTTTCCCCTAGAGCGGAAGGCCGACGTGCCTGCCGCTCTCATCCCCTGGCTTGTCGCTGCCCGTGTCCACCGAGGTCTCCCTGTCTTGCGCCTTCACTCCGACCGTGGTGGCGAGTGTGCCTCAGGTGTCCTTGGTCGCTTTTGTTGTGCGGAGGGCATCACCCAGACGTTGACCCTACCGGACTCCCCACAGCAGAATGGGGTCGCTGAGCGACGCATCGGTTTGGTCATGGAGGTGGCTCGCACCTCCATGATCCATGCCAGTGCACCCCATTTTCTGTGGCCATTCGCTGTGCGCTACGCTTCTCACCAGCTTAACCTGTGGCCGCACCCCCAACAACCGCAGGTTTTGCCGTCCCGTCTTTGGACTGGGTCTCCTGGTGACGCGTCTGCATTCCACGTCTGGGGCTGCCTTGCTCACGTCCGTGCCTCCGGCACGGACAAGCTCACTGCCCGCACCCTTCCCTACGTCTTCCTCGGTTTTCCCCTTGACGCGTCCGACTCGCACTTCTACCACCCGCCATCTCACCGCTTCTTTCACTCTCCCGACGTCACCTTTGACGACTCCGTCTCCTACTACCGTCGCTTCCCCCACCGCGGTCCCCCGGTTACCCCCCCCCTGTTCCTGGTCCCTACTTCCCCGTTAGTCCCTGCCCCTCCCCCTCCTCCTCCCCGTCGTGCCCCCTCTGGTGTGTCCCACGTCACCCCTCTTCCGCCGCAGCAGCATTCCCCGCCGGTGTCAGCCCTTCGCCTGCTCGGCCTTCCGTCCCCTGACCCTGCGTCTGTTCCTCTCCGGCGGCTCCTCCTCTTCCCGTGTACGGCCCTGTGTTCCCTCCGCCGGACTCGTCCCCGGCTCGTCTTCCTCCTCGTTCCCCCCCTGTGTCCCCTCCCCTGTCTCCTGACCCGACTCCTCCGTCTCACATTTGGTCTCACCGTCCCTCCCGTGCTCGTCCTGCCTCCCCTGTCTTGCGCTCCCACCCTATGTTGCTTCGTTCCCACGCGTCTCGTCCTCCCCTTCTCCCGTCGCCTCCTCCGTCCTCCCTTGTTGTTGCACCCCCCACTCTGTCTAACTACCTTCGTGCCGCTCGTCCTCTTGTTCCTCGGGTCCTTGCCTCTCTCGTTACCGACCTGTCTGTTCCGGTCTCGTGCCTTGACGCTCTTGTTGCTGCGGTCGCTGACTTCGCCTCTACCCGCCGCCTTGACTACGCCACTGCTCTGGTCTCTGACCCTGCCTGTCCTCCGTCTGTCGGGGGTGCTCCTGCCCTCGGCA